AGAGTCTTGCTCTGTCACCCAGGCTGGAGTACAGTGGTGCAATCTTGGCTCACTGCAACCTCCACCTCCCCGGTTCAAGCGATTCTCCTGCCTCAACCTCCCAAGTAGCTGGGATTACAGGCGCCTGCCACCATATCTGGCTAATTTTTGGATTTTTAGTAGAGATGGGGTTTCACCATGTTGTTCAGGGTGGTTTTGAACTCCTGAACTCAAATGATCCTCCCACCTCAGCCTCTCAAGTAGCTGGGACTATAGATATGCACCAGTATACTCAGCTAAATTTTTTGATTTTTCGTAGAGAAGAGGTCTCACTATGTTGCCCAGGCTGGTCTTGAACTCCTGGTCTCAAGCAATCCTCCTGCCTCGGCCTCCCAAAGTGCTGGGATTACAGGAGTGAGCCACCATGCCTGGCCATATTCACCCTTTTGAAGTGTACGGTTCAGCGGTTATTCATATATTTGTAAACTCATGCAACCATCACCACTATCTAATTCCAGAATATTTTCATCACTCTGAAAAGAAACTCTGTACCCTTGAGCAGTCACTCCCTATTTGTCCCTCCCCCAAGTCCCTGGCAACCACTAATCTGCTTTCTGCCTCTATGGATTTCCCTATTCTGGACATTTCATATAAATGGAACCACAATATGTGGTCTTTTGACTTCTTAAAATATTGATTTTGTTTGTTTTAGAGATGGGGTCTCACTACATTATCCAGGGTGGAATGCAGTAGCAATTCACAGGCTTCATTGCGACACTCTATAGCCTTAGCCTCCCAAGTAGCTGGGACTACAGGCACCTGCTGCCTTGCCCAGCTCTTAGCCCCGCCTTTTTTTTTTTTTTTTTTTTTTTGAGACAGGATCTCACTCTGTTGCCCAGACTGGAATGCAGTGGTATGATCTCAGCTCGCTGCAACCTCCACCTCCTAGGCTCAAGCTATTCTCCTGCCTCAGCCTCCAGAGTAGCTGGGATTACAGGCACAGGCCACTACTGCCCGGCTAATTTTTGTATTTTTAGTAGAGATGGGGTTTCACCATGTTGGCCAGGCTGTCTCGAACCTCTGACCTCAAATGATCCACCCGCCTGGACTCCCTACATGTTGAAATTACAGGCATGAGCCACTGCACCCAGCCCAGCCCCACCATTTTTTATTAATCCTTTTTAAAATTCTAATGTTGCATTGCTCTTCTCCAATCACATTCTTCATTCACTGAATATCCATTTCCTCCTCTTGACCTGGTTATGCCCCTTCCTCAGACTCTCACAAATGTCATGTCTTTGTGAAGTGCCCTGAGTGTTTTCTAACCCCAGAGGGTCTCATTTTCCCTTCCCAACTCCTCCTTTATTTCAACTTGCAGTGCTTCTTCTTCTTATTTTATTTATTTATTTATTTAGAACCAGAGTCTTGCTCTGTTGCCCCAGGTGGAGTGCGGTGGTGCAATCTCAGCCTATTGCAACTTCTACCTTCAGGGTTTAGGAAATTCTCTTGCCTCAGCCTCCCAACTAGTTGAGATCACAGGCATGTGCCACCATGCCTGGCTAATATTTGTATTTTTAGTAGAGACAGGGTTTCACCATGTTGGCCAGGCTGGTGCTGAACTTCTGATCTCAAGTGATCTACCTGCCTTGGCCTCCCAAAGTGCTGGGATTACAGGCATTAGCCACTGCACCCAGTCTATCATTATTTTTAATGTATTTACTTAATTTTAACCTTCTTACTGCCCTGTGACTGCCACAAAGTCACCAAACTTTTTTTATCCTTGAACATAATAAGTCCTCTACAAATATTTGCTCATTTGCATGGCATTGCCGTAACACAGTGATTCTAAGCCAGAGGGCAATTTTGCCCTCCAGGGGACATTTGGCAATATCTAGAGACAGTTTTGGTTGTCCAGGGGGCATGGAGGTGGCATGCTTCTGACATCTAGTGGGTAGAGGCCAGGGATGCTGGTGAGTCCCCTCCAATGCATGCACAGGACAGCCCTCATAGCAAAGAATCATCTTGCCCAAAATGTCAATAGTGCCAAGCTTGAGAAACCTTGCCATAAGCTAATTAGTGCTCATTGTGAATGGGTTAGCAAAAAGAAATCCAGAGAGATTAATGTACCAGTCTGTCAGAAAATCTCACTAGGAAATGGCATGCTTTTTTTTTTCTTTTCTTTTCTTTTCTTTTTTTTGTTTTTTTGTTTTTTTTGTTTTTTTGTTTTTTTGTTTTTAGGAGCTGAGGGTGACTTTAGTGCAAAGCCCTTTCCTAATGTCATAGAGGTGCCCTGGGAGCCCAGATGGTATTTTCACCACACTTGTTCACCTTTGAGACTGGCAGCTGACCTCTCAGGAATCCTTGAAGTGCTAGGAATGTAACTCTGTTAAGGAAGAAAACCCAGGGCTTTTTAAGTCCAGCAAAATGTCAAATGTGAATTGTGCTCCTGGGGGAAGGAAGAGGAGGGGAGGTGTTTTGTAAAGTACCCTCTCCTGGCTTACCCCATGGTGATGAAACTTCTGAGCTGGCTCTGGAATAAATGATTCAAGGGAACCTGAGGCCCTATCTCTTGTTCTTTTAAAACTTGCAAAGGAGCTTTGAGAAGGATTCTGTTCGCCGCATGCATTTGCAGGAAACCCATTTGCAGGAAATTCATTTGCCGGAAACTCAAGGCACTGGTGTCAATCGTGAATACTGCAGCCCCATCAGAGCAAAGTTACTGGCTTTAGAATCATATCTTAGGTTCCTACTCATCCCATCCAACCGGTTCTTATGACTGATATGGAAATTAGGTAATATATGCCCTGAAAAGGAAAAGTAGGAGCAGTCTGAAAGAGTTTGATGAGGCAAGAAATAGGGTTTACATGCTATTTTAAAAAGTTTGTCCTTGGGGTAGAGTTACCACCAGGCTGACTGGGATCTGGTAGTGGTGTGTGTGCTTTAAAGAACAACCTTTAGCACAGCTGGCAGAAACATAAATGCCAACTAGAGGATTCTGAGAGGCACTACTCCCTCTTCTGAGCACTCTCCAATTCTTCCGCCATAAAAAAAAAAGCAAGGTGTGAATGCATTATTGTCATTGCTATACCATTTATCCAGTAAATGAACATTTTCCGGGTTCTGTATATTTGGCAAAATGCCACTACATTAAGTCATTTCTTTAGTCCAATTTTGATGAAAGCCCTTAAAGATAGAAACATATAGAGAGTACTTGGCACACTGTGAACTGCAAACGTGTTTAATGGTGATAGTAATTATGATAACAGAATAATGTGTGTTGAGTTGATAGTTGGCAGCATTTTAAGTATATTAAGAAAGCATTAAAAAAAGACCATTTAAGAACAAGATTGGAATCCCCAAAGTAACAATGGTCTTGTCAAACTGGAAAAGGAGTGCTGTTTCTGAGAAATATGTTTCAATAAAACTAAAAATTTTTCCAAATTGGATTACTTGCCCCAAAGCTCATTTTCTGTTGTTTGTGAACCCCACTCACTTAATCATTCCTGTATTCAACAAACATTACTTTTCTTTTGTCATTTGTGGTTCTCATTCCATTATTCCTTTTTCTTTTCTTTTTGTTCTTTTCTTTTTTTTTTTTTTTTTTTTTTTTGAGACGGAGTTTCGCTTTTGTTACCCAGGCTGGAGTGCAATGGCACGATCTCGGCTCACCGCAACCTCCGCCTCCTGAGCTCAAGCAATTCTCCTGCCTCAGCCTCCCTAGTAGCTGGGACTACAGGCGTCCGCCACCATGCCCAGCTAATTTTTGTATTTTTAGTAGAGACGGGGTTTCACCATGTTGACCAGGATGGTCTCGATCTCTTGACCTTGTGATCTACCCACCTCAGCCTCCCAAAGTGCTGGGATTACAGGAGTGAGCCACCGCGCTCGGCCTTTTTTTTTTTTTTTTTTTTTAAGATGGAGTCTAGCTCTGTCACCCAGGCTGGAATGCAGTGGTGCTATCTCAGCTCACTGCAACCTCTGCCTCCCAGGTTCAAAGGATTCTCCTGCCTCAGCCTCCTGAGTAGCTGGAATTACAGGTGTGTGCCACCAAGCCTAGCTAATTTTTTCTTTTTTTTCAGTAGAGATGGGGTTGCACCATGTTGGCCAGGCTGCTGTCAAACTCCTGACTTCAAGTGATCTGCCTGCCTCAGACTTCCAAAGTGCTGGGATTACAGGTGTGAACCACCAGACCCAGCTCATTATTCCTTCTTTTATTCCACATTTACATACTCTCCTACTGAGTGCCAGGCGTTGCCTTAGATTCTAATAATACAGAAACAAATGATCCTTGTCCTGGGGAAACTTAGAACCTAGTGAAATATTTATTCATTGTTTCATTCATTTACATATTTACTGTGTGCTCAAATGTTCTGGGGATACAGAAACAGAAAACACAGCACCCTCAGATAAACGAACTACATTCTAGAGGGTAGAATGGAAAGCAAGGGCAAAGGTCTTGAGGCAACTGTGCGCATAGCTAGAGGCCAGTTAGCAAAAGGGACATGACACCACCTGTGTCCCCTCCCACTCTGATAGAGACACATAACATTTTCTTAATTCTACCTAAAAGACTGTACAAAAAGTCTCTTCTTTCCAAACAGTTTGCCTCCCTAAATCCTTCCAGTATATTTCTTGGGAAGCTGTCACTAGATTTGTGTACCTCTGTTTCTCAATATGTGACTCCATTCTGGTTTCTTGCAGGTTTTTGTTTAAAGGAATGGTGGCGTTATTTATTTAAAACAGGCTTTTAAAGATACGGCTAAAACAGGAGAGAAAACCCTCACGTAGCCCACCTGCAATTTCTATTCACTTAACCTAGGTTCCGCGTCTGGGGACTCCTTCAAGGTCCTAAATCTTTGGCAGTCAAGTCAAAAGTGACTACAATTATAGGACTACAATTCCCAGGAGACACTGCGTTCGCATCCTCTGCGCACGCTCAACCTTGGTGACTGCATAGGGCAGTGAGCCCGAGGGGCGGGCCTTGGGCCGGAGCCGCGAATCGGGGCGGGGCTAGGGGCAGGGCCAGGGAGGGGGCGGTGCTGCCGGCGGGGCCCGGAACACGCTAGTGGAGCGGAAGATGGCGGCGGCAGTGGCGGCTGCAGCCGGGACCTTAGTTGGGCTGAGGCGGAGGAGCCGCCGGCTTTGACCTCGCTCTGGCTCCGGTTCGCGCGGCTGAGCGTGTGCGAGGCCCGGCGCGTCGGGCAGGGGCGGCGGCGGCCACTGCGCGCCGTCCTGAGGAGCGCCCCGGCGGCGGCGCGACTGCGGCTGAGGAGAGAGCCGGCTCCGGGCCTCCGCGTCCTCCTGCTCCCCCGGCCCCCCGCCTCCTCGGGGGGGCGGCGGCGGCGATGTTCTCGGTCCTCTCGTACGGGCGGCTGGTGGCCCGCGCCGTGCTCGGCGGCCTCTCGCAGACCGACCCCAGGGCCGGCGGCGGCGGCGGCGGCGGCGACTACGGGCTGGTGACGGCCGGCTGCGGCTTCGGCAAGGACTTCCGTAAGGGCCTCCTCAAGAAGGGCGCGTGCTACGGGGACGATGCCTGCTTCGTGGCCCGACACCGCTCCGCGGACGTGCTTGGTGAGTCCCCGGCCCGGTCCCCCGCCCCAGCCTCGGATCCGCCTCCCGGGGACTCCCCTGCGCGGGGCTTCCCCAGTTCCTCCCGGCGGCGAGAGGAGCCAGAGCACTCACATGGAGGGAGCGCTTACTATGCGCCAGGCGCCGTGCCAAGCGCTCCGAGGCGCGTTTTCCGCTTGAACGACCCCCGTTTTAGAGAGGAGGAAACTGAGGCGCAGAGCGGTCAAGCCGTGTGTTCAAGGTCACAACCCGAGAGTGTGACCGGTCTGTCCGAGTCCAGAGCCACCCTCTCGGTCTCACTCGGCTGTGCCAGCCCCGGGCGACCTCGTCCTCTCCCTGGGCGACACCTGCAGGCACCTAACCTCTCTCTGGTTCCGTTCCTCTGCGTGCCCCGCGGATCCCTGCCTCTTCGCGGGCTCCCGACACCACAGCCTGGCCCAGGCTGCGGGATCGCCGGCAGACGGGCATTCCTGAGCCCCTAGACAACCTGGCCGTTTTCTTTCGACTCCTGGATCGTGACCAAATCTTCATCCTTTTCGGAGTCTGGCGGTGGGGGCTGCTGGCTTGGCGAAGAAACCCTCACAGCGTGTTCTCCCAAATTGATCTTGTCCACTTGCGGTCACTTGGGGGTTGGCGGAGTCTCCTTGATCCAAAATAGAATGGTCGAGCCTACTCATAGACTGCAGTCGGGAAAGCTTTGAGAATTGGTCATAGCCTTTTCAGGCCACAGGTGCTTCCTGAGGCCTGTTCCAGTTACACGTTTGGAGGGTGGGAGACTGGGGAGAGAGCTTGCAGAAAGGACTAAATATAATTCACAAGCAATCAGAAACTTTCAGGTAATGTACGCCTTTGGAGATTTTGTGTATGGCGTGGGATAATGTGCCGTTAAAACTCTAATAAAGCACCCACTTGGAAATTGAAGGACGAGTTGTCATTGAACTTGGGTTCAAATGTCACTTTGATTTCCCTTCCTAGGTGAGAGTGAGTTTTTGGTTACTTTAAATTTCATAGGCTCAGGCAGAGTTTGGCATTGGAACAAATGATTCTGTAACTTTTTTATGGCAGTAATTACTTTTTAATCTGATCTCAGAATAATTGCCTAGTATCTCTACCACATGTAGTGTTTGTGAACATGGGACTGGAAAGGCTGTTCTCATTTTAATTTATGAATGACCCCATTACTTGGGTTGAAAAAAAAACATTTAATGTTTAGGCAACGCTATTGATACTAACCTAAGAGGGAAACTTAGAAAGGTCCTGCAGCTTGCAGTTGAAATTGTACAAATCCACTCAGGAGTCAGCTGTCGGTAGCTATCTTTTCCCTGATACATTTAGAAGCGCTTCACTCAATGAGCTTGGACCTGTGCTGCTTTTTAAGTAATTTTTTTATTTTTGTTTTTTATTTTTAAAACGGAGTTTCATCATGTTGGTCAGGTTGGTCTTGAACTCCCGACCTCAGGTGATCCGCCCACCTTGGCCTCTAAAGTGCTTGGATTACAGGCATGAGCCACCAAGCCCGGCCTGTGCTGCTTCTTAAAGTTGCGTTAGTGACATAGGATAGGGGATAATGAAGCTCTAAGGTTCACCTTATAAATTTGTATGCTGGCTTTTATGAAAGATCCGTGACTTGATTGATGATTTGGGGAGTATTTAAATGTGTCAAATCCTATATTGATGATTGATTTTAAAATTTTGGAAAACTACCTTAATGGAGTGGAATATTTACAAGAATTGAGGGGATTTTGGTCAAACCCATTCTAAAAAAACTATAAACATAATTTCATGTCCTGACATCTGGTGGAAACCAGTGAACTTTGATGCTCAGCTTTGCCACTTAGTAGCTCTGTGATTTGTGGTCTTGGGCAGAGCCTCTCTTGAGTCTCCTTTTCTTTATCTGGACTAGGGAATGAAGGGAATGGACGACCTGACCCTTAGTGACTATAGCTTCTGACCATCAAATCGTATTTTCTTCTTTTGGGGGTGCTGAGGGGATGGAGTTTCGCTCTTGTTGCCCAGGCAGAAGTGGTTCTTAGCTTACCTTGGTTCGCAACCCCTGAGGATCTTTGACTGTCCAAGAGCTCACTCCTCTGGACACTGTACAGAGAGACAAAATTTTGCATAGGCTCTTAGGAACTTGGTTGACTCCATGACTCCTGATACCACCTAGAAGTCAGGAACTTGGTTGACTCCGTGACTCCTGATACCACCTAGAGCAGGCGTCCCCAAACTGCGGCCCCCTGAGGCCATTTATCCGGCCCCCTGCCACACTTCAGGAAGGGGCACCTCTTTCATTGGTGGTCAGTGAGAGGAGCACAGTATGTGGTGGCCCTCCAGCGGTCTGAGGGACAGTGAACTGGCCCCCTGTGTAAAAAGTTTGGGGACGCCTGACCTAGAGGTCCATGCACAGGAATCACATCAAGAACCCCAGCTCTGTACCCTTCTTGAAGGGAATGCCAGCAGGCACAGTCAGATAGCGGTTGCTGATATGACCAAAGGGTGGTGGTTAGCCATATTTGACAGAGATCAAGCATGCACATGTGCAGGTGGGGGATGGGGGCAGTGAAGGACAGGTTCACCAGGACTATCCTGTTGTGGAGGAGCTCTTCAGGACAGCAGTCTTTCGAGCCACCTGAAATAACTTCATGAGTTGGCCTCATTTGATCCTTGGCTGTCCTGAACCAGTTCATATGATGGTGACTTCTATTTTATTGATAGCGTAAAAGGTGATAACTTTTATTTTTCTTTCTTGTGGACCTGTGTCTAGAAAAAGGTGATGACTTTTATTTTTTGAGACAGAGTCTTGTCCTGTCGCCCAGGCTTGCAGTGCAGTGGTGCAATTTCGGTTCACTACAACCTCCGCCTTCTGGGTTCAGGTGATTCTTGTGCCTCAGCCTCCTGAGTAGCTGGGACTACAGGCATGTCCCACCACTCCCAGCTCGATGTTTGTTTGTTTTTGAGACGGAGTCTCACTCTTATCACCAGGCTGGAGTGCAGTGGCACTTCGCCTCCCCAGTAGCTGGCACTACAGGCATGCACCACCATGCCCACGTAGTTTTTGTATTTTTAGTAAAGATGGAGTTTCACCATGTTGGCCAGGATGGTCTTGATCTCTTGACCTCACAATCTGCCCTCCTCAGCCCCGCAACATGCTGGTATTACAGGCATGATTGTTTGTAATTTTTTTAGTAGAGACGAGCTTTTGCCATATTGCCCAGGCTGGTGTCGAACTCCTGACCTCGTGTGATCCACCCGCCTTGGCCTCCCAAAGTACTAGGATTACAGGTGTGAGCCATGGCTTCCGGCTAAGGTGATGACTTTCAGTGAGTTTAATACTGCTGTTTACTCTAGAGGTTGGAGTTTCAAACTGAATTACATTAAAAGGCTATGTTGAGTAATAACGGTATGTTGAACCTTTTAGTTCTGTAGATAATTCATTTTCTTTGAATTGACACCATATTTATTACTCAGTATCCATGTAACAGATTATTCACTGTGGTCATCTAGAACTCCTTGACTGGAATGAAAGTTGTTTCTTTTATACAAGAAAGAGAAAGCCCTTTGTTTCTTTAATTTAAAATTAATCCGTCCTGTTAGTCATGCAATGACTAATAGTACTTGGTGCTTCACAACATTTTGTATAGTCCCCGCTGGATTTCTTTTCGGAAAAACCAAGTATGGTGGGTGTGGTGAGACATAAGAACCACTCCTATCATTCTCTGGAAAATTGACAAAGGTGCTTTCTCTTTACTAGGTCCAACAGGAGTAAACCAGTACTAGCGGGAGCTATGTATGCTTTTCTTGTTCCTTCTTCCCTGTGGCTAATTTGGAGTTCTCTTATTATTCTATATGGCATGGCTTCCTAGGTGCACAAAAATATGAGAGCTGCATGGTGTAATCACTGGGCTTCCCACAGCCTTAAGCTACTTAACAATAGAATCAAAATTGTAAGACAAAAACCTTGGAGTCTGGTTTTTTTCACCTCACTAATGAGAAAACAGGCCTACAGAGTCAGATGACTTCCCCAAGGTTACTCTACTAGTTATTGGTGGAACTGAGGCTGACACCTATGTCAGTCTCCCAACTGAGACTCCACTTCCCAGTCCTCTCCCTGTTAGACTACTGGTCAGGTTTTCTTGATGATTTATGTGAATTAAGAACCAGTCAGTCTCCTGGTACTTTTGTCCTTTGAATGCTTTTCCTGGGTGTGTGTATGTGTGCGTGTGTTTATAACTTCTTTATTTGCTCTGACTCATAACTGAAGGCAACAAAAAACTTCCCTTCGTACTAAACCACAGTTTACAGAAACCACTTATTTAAAAAATGGCAGCCTGGTCTGTGCCATGTAAATTCTGACCTCTGAATGCTGAGTTGTAAAGTATTTCTTATAAAACTGTGGGATGTTTATTTAAACTTGAAACCTAAAAATGAAATTAAAATAATTTCATATCCCAGCTTTTGGATCTGGTTTTGATCGTGGTCAGGATTTTGAAGTGTTTTTGTGAGTAATGTCAGTCTTAAAAGTAGGTGTCTTAAGGTATGAAGATCATGTGAACAAAATTAAAATCTAAATTATATTAAGGAAGTGAATGGATGAGGTAGAATTTGGTGTTCTCAAACAGTCATGATAATTTTAATATACTTACAGAACCTCTATTCTGAAAGTGAATTGTCCGTTTGAAATAGTAGTCATCTTGAGAGTGCGTGTGCCCGCTAACTTCAAGTCTTTCAAGTCCTCGTTGGAATTTTTCTCAGCTAGATTTCAAGCCATGTCAGGACACCAGTCTCATTGTTACATTACATAATTTTCTTTCTTTTCTAAATTTTAAGTTCCAGGGTACACGTGCAGAACATGCCATAATTTTCTTAAAGTCAGATTCCAGCTTCATCTACCTGTTGATAGCAAATATGACCTTGTGAGTTTTTTGGGGTTTTTTTTTGAGACAGAGTCTCACCCATGTTCCCAGGTAGGAGTGCAGTGGCATGATCTTGGCTCATTGTAACCT